TGTGTATGGTAATTATGACGGAGAGTTCCCAACCTGCTGGGAAATGGCCAGTGTTGTCTGTATATATAAACAACTCTGCCAGCAGTGGAGCCCACCAGTCAACGTGTGTCCTGAAAAGTTCTGGGGATAGAAATTCTTCACCAGGTGCAGTACTGGGTTTCAGTGACTGAATAATGTGTTTAATTTCTGTCACTACCACTGGTGGCCAAGGAGGGAGATTATCAAGGGTCAAAGACTCAGTAGTCAACATTTCTGGATGATCCTGCTTGGAGTTAGCAAATAAGTTAGTATAAAAATCCTCCCAAACTGTAGCTGAGATTGGGATATCAAGTAAAAGCTTATGCTCTTCAGCATGCCAGATAAGATGTTCCAGAATATGGCTGAGTTATGGCTTTTCTTGACTTTTCTAGTTCAGACCAAACTGTAGCTGTGTATTGAGCCTTCTTAGTGGCTGTTAGTTTCTTACAACTGCGTCTAAGCTTCAACATCTTGGCATGATTGTTTGGTGTGCGGTTTCTTTGAACCAAACGCATAGCTGCTTTTAGGGTCTTTCTTGAATGAGAACAATCAAGGTCAAACTAATTAGATCTTGTGGGCTGTCAGTTCCTAAAGGGCAATTCTTCTATCAAAAAGTTTGTTAACGTATAACACAGATTGGCATACCCAGTAAAAGTTCCATTTGGGTCGTGAGTAGATGTAATAATTATTATAATTACTGGGTCCTCTCAGAGTTCATAAAGTTGGCAATTGCCTTGCTGTCCACCTTAGACCATTTGAGCCTCCTAGCTTGCCTCACTTTAAGGTTAGTGAGTAGCCTCTTGTGTGGTACAGTGTGATGGAATGCTTCGATGAAGGCTGTGCTCGGGGAGATAAGCATTGCCTTAGCCCCCAGCAGGAGTGTGGGAAGGTTAAGAAGATGAGACTGGCACCACCCTAAGGAATTCGCGGGGTTTTGCTTGCTGGCTTGAGAAGTTTAGAGTCAGTCTGGCAGGATTCTGTCTTGGGGTTGGAAGCTAATAAAAGCTATCAAACTAGACCTGTACTGTCTCGTGGAGTTCTTTGGGCTGAACCTGACATACAGGTTGCCTTAAATCAGAACTGCCATAAAAGTTAACTGCAATTGGTTGATGGTCACTGTCCTCCCTCATGTAAACTTGAATGTCTTGCCTTAAATCAGAACTGCCATAAAAGTTAACTGCAATTGGTTGATGGTCACTGTCCTCCCTCATGTAAACTTGAATGTCTTGCCTTAAATCAGAACTGCCATAAAAGTTAACTGCAATTGGTTGATGGTCACTGTCCTCCCTCATGTAAACTTGAATGTCTGAGCATAAGTTGATTTTGTCTGTTGAGTCACATATGTAATCCAGGACATTAGCATTTGCAGCATGAAAAGTAAAAGGATATATGAAGCAACTGTCTTTGCCTCCTAGGATGTGAAGATTACATGTGTAGATCACGGAAATCAGTTTGGAGCCCGCCATGTTCCTTTTAGAGTCTCTGGAGTACCAGGGTGGGTGATTTGATAAATGCCCAAGTGGGTATAATCATTCAAGGAAGCCCCCACCTTAGCGTTAAAATTGCCCAGTAAGATCACAACAGCTTTAGCATGTTTTATATTTATCTCTAAGACTGTCTTTTCTAATTACACCCAGATGACGGGGAGAAGCAGGGAGAGGAATATGGGAGTAGGTATACATTTAGCAGCACAACTTCAGATGATTTGTATTTAAATTGAATAGCTAGAAGATAGAAGGTTTTTTCTCTAACAGCCAGTTCCCGCTCTTGCCAGTCCAACTCTGCCTTGGGAAGTACACATAATCTCCCTGAGGCCCAGCCTTTTATCTTGAATTTACACGCTGGTGTAGACCATAGTACATGGTAGGCTTGGTAGGTGAGCATCTTCATCGCCGGTGGTTAACCATGTCTCTTGGAGTGCTATGATGTTGAACTTGAAGAGGAATTCCAACAGATCTCCCTCTGACATTCTATTCTTCCATCTAGCTATATTCCATGTCAATAGCCGAATAGAACTTTCTTGTTTGTTGTCAGAAGGGATAGCTGGCAATGTGTTAAGGTCTGTGGTTGGATGGTGTGGCTCATGCAGTCATTCTACAGGTAAGATGAAGTCCAAAATTCCTTTAGTAGCTAGGAAAGTACACTGGTTTTACCACTACCTTTGCCGCTCTCTTGCTACTGTATGGAGTCAGGTAAATTTTGTAATGGTTTACACGTAGGATACTGAACATTAGCAACTTGTTGTTTCATGTCTGTATCATTAGCAAGAGGGGTTATCACAGCCCTGAGCAGTGGTCTTCTTCCTGCCTCAGAGGCTACCTTTGTCATAATTTCCTGTGGTTCCTGGAGCAGAGGTTTGCCTGGAGAGCTGGAGAGTATGCCAGTTATTGGATATGTTAGGCTACAGATATCCATCTCATGTTCCTGGCCCATCACCTAGCTCTACTTGTGGTTTCCTTCCTCTCGTTTACTGACAGCAGCCAATTTTTTGTTCTTTGAAGTTTCTGAGTGTTGTGCTGTATTAACAAGGGGCAGGATGGAAGAATTTGGATCTGCACCAGGGGACTCTGTGTTGATGGTCTGCATGTCTAAATTCCACAAGTAAGTGGAGGGGGTCAAGAGGCCAACAAGTCCTTTCTCAAAGTAGTTGCAGTTGCCTTGGGTGGTTGGTAAAACCAGATCAGTTAGAGGTTTGGCTGCTTTATGTGCTGCCACTGAAGTTTCTCTCAGATCATTCCAGTCTTTTAATAATGTCAGCTTGTTCCAAGTCTGACAGTGCACTGAAGGAGTTAATCAGGTTTTCTTCCAGGGGGTCATATGTGCACTGTCTTGCTGTAAGTAGCACAGATTGTTTGCCTGGACAGAAAGCACACTATTTGCCTGGACAGCCATCTCTCAGGGACAGAGCTGGTAGAATGTCCTTGAGGTTATCTAAAGTTGAGTGGTCACATTTGTTCTTTAAAGTGGCAGTACTCTCTAGGCCAGACTGGCTTAGGAGTGGGCTGAGTTCCTGTGATCAAAACACACATATTGGAAAAATTGAAAAAATATGCAAAAAGGGTCTCATTGCCTAAATATAAGTAAAATTTGCTCACAGCCTTTTCTGGATGGAAGCCATTCGGCCTTCTGTAAATCAGTCAGCTGCTTTTCATAGCATTTGTTTGTTTAGTCGTTAAGTCGTGTCCGACTCTTCGTGACACATAGCATAGCATAGTAGCTGGTTTAAAGATAATTGCTCTTTTTGATCCCCATTGTCCTCTGTTTGCTCTGTTATTTGATATTTGTAGGGTGATTTGATAAGGCTGTAAGTAGTACAGGTAGTCCTCGACTTACAACCATTCATTTAATGACCATTTGAAGTTATGACATCACTGAGAAAAGTTCCTTGCACTTATGACCATCACAGTGCCCCCATGGTCACGTGATCAAAATTTGGATGCTTGACAACCGGCATGTATTTATGACAGTTGCAGTGTCCCGGGGCCGCTTGATCGCCATTTGCAACCTTCCCAGGGGGCTTTTGACAAGCATAGTCAATGGGGGAAGCTGGATTTGCTTAACCACAGTGTGATTCGCTTAATGACTGTGGCAAAAAAGGTTGTAAAATTAGGTGTGACTCACTTAACAACTGTATTGCTTAGTGATGGAAGTTCCAGTCCCAACTGTGTCAGTCCCTTATGACCCAACTGTGGTCATAAGTCAAGGACTACCTGTATTTGCGATTTAAATGCCTCTGTCCCTTAGTTACATGACCACTAGGTACTTGCTTCTCATCCTTCTCTCCATGAGTGGTCAGCTGTCTCTGATCATTACTTTCTCTATTCCCTGGTGTAGGGGTAAGGTTGTCTATGACTTCCCTGCTGACTGCTTTTATGGCACACATTGTACAGGAGATCTTTAGCAGTGTTGTCATTTGATTGGTTTTCAATAAGCTTTGCAAAGGCTTCTTTTAAAGAGTCCACTTTAGTTTTGACTTTCAACAACAGGTCAGATATAGAGAGACCAGTTTATGCTGTCAGCAGGCTTTGCCTGGTTAGAAAGTCAGTTATATTTTTGTTCTTTAAATTTATCGAGTTTGTATTCACACTCTTATCCTGCGAAAGCTGTGCAGCTGCTGAGCAGATTGCAGCAGTATGTTTGGAGAGGGGTGCATCCTCTTCCATAGAAAAGGAGAGGTCTGTAAGCTGTTGGTTTTCAATCTTTGCTTGGATATAGCTTGTGTTGCAGAATGTGTATGGTGTGGTGTCTCTTCCTTTTTTTTCTCCATGATGATTAGTGATGTCCCAAAGTTTTCTCTACTCTTTCTTTATGTTGAGGGTTCCGATAGGGCAGCACAAGGCTATCACACTGAAAACGTGTGGAGGGGTAAATGTAAAATAAAATGGGCTGGTACTTAAAACTATAGATCAAGAAAAAAATGATTAAAATAATAATCTTTTGGAGGAGCTCTTTATGGTAGTTGATGGCTCATCGCCATCTTGGCTCCTCCCCCCACCAAAGAAGATAGGAAGGATGAAACTATTGCTTTTTTGGGGGCTGAATAACCTAAATTGGCTATAGTGCCAAAAAAAAAAAAAATCAATACAGTTTGAAATGTGTTTATTAATTTGGGATTTTTGATTGGATCATATTAATTGCCTGGCTTTTAACCAATTAAATTATGGAGAAAATGATACTCTTGTAATAATCCCCAATGCATCAATTTTATATTTTTTTACCTTTCTTTTATTACTTTGCCTAACCAATCCTTTACTTGTACTATTATTCTATAAATTATTGGGGAAAAAATTAGCCTGTTGTGTGTAGTTTCATTTGTAGAGTCATTATATTTGTGATTGTATTGCTCTGTTGCCATAATCAAGAAAAATAACCTCTGGAAGGAAATGGCTAATAGAAATAGGCATCTAACTGCACATCCTCATCTATATGATAATGCTTATGTCCATTTGTAATTTATGAATGAGAATGCTCATTCCTAATGTAGCAACCTGATATTCTCCAGATGTTTTGGATTTCAACTCTCACCAGACCTAGCTATCATGTGGGAATATAGTTCAAAACAACAGGATAACACTTCTAATTTAGAACTAACTTCTAGAACTAGATTAAGAATCTCATCTTAAAGAGGATAAAATTTTATAACAATTTGTCACATTTTCTAAATGCATCAATAATCTAATAAAAAGATTAGATTTTTCTCTAACATTTTCCTATTGAATATAAACTTGGATTTTAATTTTAAAAATCCAGTTTACCTTCCACAGCCTTAACTTTCTTTAAAGTGTTTTTTATGATGTTTTTGCAGATTGGGTGGTAGTACTGGATATGTGAAAACAAAAATGAGTTTGGATCTCAAAAATTCTAGTACAGGACTTGAAACAAAGATACCAAAAGTTTCACAACACATTAATAGTGCTTTAATGCCTCCTGGAGAGCGTGAAAAGATCACCCTGCAATTTAAAGCCAAGGCTAAACTTGGTGGGAAAAGAAGCATTATGGAGTCTGTCTTCTCTCATAAAGAACAGTCTGGCATAAATGGTAGTGATCCTAATGATAAAAAAAGGAAGAAGTTGTCACAAGATTTGGGGATCATAAACATCAGAGAGAAGGACAAAAAAAAAGATAAAATGGAGAGCACCAAGTTAAAAAAAGTAATTATAGAACATATAGTAGAGGAATTCAAGGAAACTGCGAAACCTACAGAATGTTCATTTCTTCATAAGAAGAAAACATTAAAATTGAGTGAACTCACCCAGAAAAAGAACTGTACAAAAAAACAGCATGTTCCAGCTTTACCTTTTACATTCTTATATGGTAAAATGTATACACTGGCTTCCAAAGAAGATAATCTTGAGAAAGACAAGTATTCTTCTTTAGAACTTTCCAGCAAAGAAGTGAAATGTGCACCTTCACATCACCTGGCTAAACTGTCCAAATGTTGGAAGTATAAACAGGAAGAGCTAATACATACTGATTCCACCAAGAATATTTATAATTCAAGGATTCAAGGAAATAAATCTGAACCTGTCACATTTCATTCAAGTCAGGTAAAGTAAAAAAAAAAAAAATCATGAGATGTGAAGTAGTAGTTTTGTTTTGTTGAGATCTGTTACAGATTTTTAAACAATTCCCTTGGGTTGGTAATGCAAAATATAGGAAATGGCTTAGTTAAATATAGGTAGTCCTCACTTAACAACCACAATTGGGACCAGAATTTAGGTCGCTAAGTGATGAGGTAGTTAAGCGAATCATCACATGACTGGACCTGGTTTTACAACCTTTTTTGCAGCAGTCTTTAAGTTAATCATATGGTTCCCCATTGACTTGGCTTGCTGGAGGCCAACTGGGAGGGTCACAAATGTCAGTCACGTAATCCTGGGACACTGCAACCATCATAAGTTGCCAAGCGCCCAGATCATGATCACATGACCGTGGGCGTGCTGCAACATCATAACTTCGGGCACTGGTTATAAGTCTCTTTTTTAGTGCTGTTGTAACTTTGAACAATTGTTAAATGAATGATCGTTAAGCAAGGACTACGTGTAGCTAAGGAGTTCTTGCTTAGACAGTACTATCAAAAAAAAATGTGGTGCATTCCATCACTTCATAAACCAATGAGAAAGATTCTGACTTCCAAATGCTACTGAACTTCAGATTGACCAAAAATAACAAAGACTCATTGAGCAAGTGCAGAGATGTATACTTAAATGTTGGAATACAGATTAAGTTAGGCCAAGGACTGCTTAAAAGTGATGGATAAAGACAAATTTTAAAGGAGAAATACAAGTGGACTATCATGCATTAAATATGAGAACAGCAGAAATTAATTACTGTTCAATCATTTGAAATATAAAATGAAACCATAATCATAGTTATCCAGTCTTTGTGAAGATTTGTTAACATTTTCTAAAATTATAATACATACATGACAAAAATCCATCTTACTTAGTTTTTCTTGCATTATTTTTACTCCTTTCAAAATTGCTTCAGGTTCATAGTAAAATTCTAACTGTAAAATTAATAGCTAAGTACATATATATCTTTCTTACAGAACTCCAAATCCTTGTGTTCTTCCCTTGAAACCATTGAAAATACTGATGTGGACCAAGAGGTTAGAGGTTATTTTATCAGCATTCCCTAAATTCAGTTTTTAGTTCATACTTTCCAAACTTTAGATTTTTCGCTTATATTGATTCTGTTTGTTCTCATTTTTAGAGATTGGAGTTTTATTATCTAACCTTTGGGTGCTTGCAGCTACTTTACAATCACAGTTGAAGTTTTAAAATAGAAACAATACATAAAAATATAAAGGATGTAAACAACAAAAGCAGCAATAGTAGGAATAAATTAAATCTCCAGTGCAGCAGAAATGCATAAAAATTTTATATCTCTCATGAGATCATTGGAGAGGTTCACAGAAATACAAGTACCTTTGGGGGGAAAAGTAAAGGAAAATTGGAAGGAATCCAAAGTAGCCCAATGAGGACTGAGCATACTCATTGGTCAAGGAATCTGAAAGTAACACAGTGAGGAATGAACATACTTGTTCTGGTCCCAACTCCAAAGCTAGATAGATAATGGATGAAAAGTCCCAGCATAACACTTTGAACTGACAGTGTGACAGCATATATAGAGATCTGTATGAGTTCTTACTTGCCACAGTGTTTATTTAAACAACATAAATAACACAAAGTTAAGAGAAGTTGCAGTAGTTTGATTCCAGTCAAAAAGAATCATAATTTTTATTGGCTAATTCCCTTCCTAAAAGTGTGCAAACTAGAATTCTTGGAGAGAGAAACAGAAAATTACGGGGATGGGGGAAAGAAAGAAAGTGCCCTGCCTTAACGCATCAAGATATGAAGACAGCTTACACATGTCATGCAATGTTAACTGCAGGTTTGGTAGAACTTTTGATAAATGTTTTTATTGAGAACAATTTCTACTCATTGTTTTTAGTATTATCCATTTATCTTCCCTTTTCTTCTATGTCATATTCATCTACCACCTACATGGAAAGAGTAAGGCAAACAGTAACTTCCTTCCTTCCTTCCTTCCTTCCTTCCTTCCTTCCTTCCTTCCTTCCTTCCTTCCTTCCTTCCT